TTTCCAGTTTCTTGCAAAAATCAACCTTGCTGCCATAATCATTATTACTATTAAGTCCTTAATTTCTTTCAACAATTGATCCTTCTTAACCAAATTCAATAAAGCCATTGACGGGGATTTTTGAATATTTAACCCAGTTATTTCCATTATTTCTTTAACATTTGCTTCCATTCTTGCTTTCTTATTTCACATAACTACCACATATGTATATATGTCCCCTTTTCTTTTTTACACCTCCAGCATAGTGATGATACATTTTTATTATATTCAGTTTTACCGGCATTAAATACCACCTCTATATTAACTTATAACAATTTTCTTTTATCCTTACAGACATGTTCTTCATAATTCTTTGACCCCACATTTTATCCCATTCTTTCTCCTATTACTTCTTTATCCAAATCATATTGCCACTGTGTTTTTAATCCATGTGTATCCTGTTCGGCCTGAATTAATAATTTATATATTTGACTTACAGTTCCCTTTCTGTCTTTTCCTCTAATTTCAATCTTTTTTTCAATAATCTCTTCAAATTTTGTCATTTTTCAATTTTTCCCTTTACTATTCCATTCCATTGTCCACCTTTCTATTTGAATCCTATTAAACCAAGAAATCCCCTCTCCTCCCAAAATCTCTTATATTTCCTTTATCTCTCATCTTCTCCATCCACTTTTATCCAATGTATCCCTTTATTTTTTGATATATTCTTAAAGGGTTTTTCAAGATTTTCTGGAAAAAAATTTAAATCCACCACCTGGGTTAAAGGAGAGATCGATGGGCTCAATATACCACATTTTCGTTTTCTAACATTTTTACGGAAAGGGTTAATAATCTTTTTAATCTCTTCTTCAATTTTTTCTTTAAACAATATACTTTCAATTCTTTTTTCCTTACCTCCATTTCCATTTCTGTCTATTTCTATTTCATCAGAGGCTCATGAAGCTCATGCAGGAGCACAAAGACCAGCTGCCACACAGATGTACCAGCCCTCACTATAAAGAGCACAGTCACTGGGGCTAGTGACTCAAACTCAGCCCCAACAATGGACCAAAGTCAGGTGGGAACTCAGGTCCTGTGATGGCAACCAGGTCCAGGCAAGTGGACTACCTGAAACCAGGGACAAAGATTGAAGGTGTGCCAGACCACCAATTGGGACAATAGAGTTTCTTGCACCCAATCAATACCCTGCTGAGTAAATGGAGCCCATGGTGGAGGATATATTCCAAGCGTCCCACATCTCAGGAGGGGCAGTGGGGAATCACAATGGCCATCTAAATTCTGGAGTATGTTCAGTTCTGGGCAGTTAATTCAACCCATTCTGGTTAAACTTTAACAGTAAGGAGTTCATCAGGCATAATAATCTCTACGTGGATAGCTTGCTCCACTGAAACCGACAAATTCCTTTGTAAAAACATGGCAATATGCTTGACTTCAACAGAGCTCACAAAAATGCTGAAAAGTTGTCTTCCACCAATATTACCATACAATAGACATTTCTAAAGATTTTGATACAGGAAAGATAGGGAAGGTTAACAGTTGCTTCAAACATAATGCTCTCCACTAAATTAAGAGTTCAGTTCAGGTAGTCCTGCTACACAGGATATTTATATCAGCCTTGCACAACCCAACGTGCTCTGGGATGTCCTGAAATACACTGCCCATCTCTCTCTCTCACTCACTCACTCTCTCTCTCTCTCACACACACACACAAACACACATACACTAGTGCTGCCTAGGTGATGGGAATTGTTCATAACATGGGTAGTGCCAGTTGAAAAAAGAATGTGTTATACCTTATTCTAAGAACTAGGACCTTGATGGCTGTGGTCATGACCCACTCTCTAGGAGACCAATGCACAGAGGTGTGACTAGCAATTTTGGTGTGGGGAAAGTCCTATTATTGTAGTCTAGGTCACATGACTGCACATGTGAGGAAAAGACAGTGAAATGCCTCAGTCTGAAGATGTGATGACCATGATGATCCTGTGCTGAGCTTTCCTCTTTTGCATTTCCTTCGGCTCAGGGAGAATCAGCTGGAGGTGGTACTCATGCTTGAGGCAGGCAGATTTGCAGACTTCTTGCAGTAAATATAAGCAGGCAGGTCCGTACCCTTAGAGCAGTAGCAAAATTTCCACCTTCTAAAATTTGGCACAAAAAATCATAGCCCTAAATGCCCTGGCCTATTACACATACATACCTCCTATCACACATACTACGGGAACACAGTGTGCATTGCCATCAGCACTGGCATCAAGCCCTCAGAAACCAGCCCTTGTTTGCATCTTCTGACACACGACAGGTGCACAAGGCACATTTTGCTATGATAGGTGACTGTACCGCTGTGGCAATCACAGACAAAGCCTTCCAGATACAAATAACAGCCAAGACAGAAGAATTCCTCCTCCCTGCATGGAGTTTTATGTGGCAGATGCGAATGTCTGCCATAATGAACAACTGAATGCCTGGAGGTTTGTCACTTGTGTCCCACAGTAGTTAAGACGAAGTTAAGATTATCTGCCCAAAATAATCTTACCTAAATAATAAAAGAATGAACTGTACCTCTACAACAACCGTTGTATATAACATGTGGACAAAATACAAATCCATGGAGGGATCGTCTGGTTTGTGAGCAATCCTAAAGTCGAAATACCGAATTCCAGCATTCAGTTGCTCTAACACAGTCAATGCCTGTATAAGCAAAAATAAAAAGATTTCCTGAATATTTGCGGCGAAGATACATAGCCTTGATTTCCTTTATTGTTAATTTCTTCAAAAGTTAATGGTTACAGCTTTAATAAATGATTTTCAAAAAGACAAGGAAGGCAACAGACTTCTTTGGTGATGTGATTTAGTATCACACAATTTTTGCACAGAACAAAATGCATTAGCCTCCCTTTCCCCCCATATGTGTACCATTTTTCCTTATGGCCCTGGATGAGGTTATACTAGTCCCACTGAATCATCTACTAAATCCACTACTCAGTGGGTCTACTTTAGTTGGGACTACCATTAGGATTCTGGTCAAAGGATATTGGTGTGCTGCTCAAAGTATTCCCCCGGGAAACACATTGCAGGATAAAATGTGTTCCAACAAAAGTTAGTCCCCAAAAAAGGAAGGTTTGAAAAACTAACAAACCCTCATCTGCCACAAGTGTGCATTGTCCACTTGGGTAAAGAGCCTCAAACTTAAAGAAGAGCTAATGAAAGGTAGAACTGTAGCTTCAGTTAATAACAGCTATAATAAAAAGACTACTCAAAAGAACACTGTTTCCGCAATTCATTTCTATGCAGGAGATAACAAGGGAATCTTTCATCAAATATACTTTCATCAAATAATTATAGGCATGATAGCTCAGGCACAGTCCATATAGAAACAAAGAGACACAATAAATGAAATACTGCAAAAATGCTTAAAAGTAAGATATAAAAATGGAAAAGTTTGAAAACTGCTTACCTGTGTTATAGACCATCTCAAAATAATAGGATGCACTATGGGATGCATATGTTTGTCCAAAAACTGCAACAATTTGGATTCATTAACACTTACTTTCGACTCCTTATCCAAGCAATACGTCATAGAATCATGACTCCCTATACAAGAACAAAAAATTAAACTCAAATTATTGCCAGTCATTTGTCAACATTTTTCAATCTCGCCCTCTGTACAAAATTTGATTTTCTGAACTGTGTTTCTAAGCATACACCTAAACATGTGGCTCCATAAACACCTATCTGTAATTATTACATATCAAATCCCACCTTAAGACAACACCAGAATGCCATGGTCTCAAACCCAGCCAATGGAAATAAATGCCACTACAGTAGTTAACTGTATTTTTCCATGTACAGTATAAGATGATATTTTTATCTAAAATCTTCAGACTAAAAATTGAGGGTCATCTTCAAGAAGTAGTAAGGGGTAAGTGATCAAAGGGCTGCAGGATCGCAGCCCTCTGATCCTGCAGCCCTCTTGTCGTTGCTTTACCCCTCCAATTCCTAAGATTGCTGCTTTCCCCCTCCACTTCTGCATCCCTTTGATCCTGCTTTCGCGGGGCTTAGGAAGTGGAGGGGGAAAGCAGCAATCAAATTTTCTTATTTGGGGTTGGAAAAGTGGAGGTCGTCTTATACATCAAGTTGTCTTATACACGAAAAAAATACGATAAACCACAATATAAGTCCCATTGGCCTCAAGGAATCTATTGTAGCTGGAACTACCATTGAATTTAGACTCCAAGAATTATACCACATGTGAACAATGACCCTGAGGACATGGCTAAGTGATGAGTATGTGATGCAAAACCATAACAAATTAGAATATAATAAAATGACAAACATTTAAATAGAATTAAATTTAACTACACAAAAAATAATTGAATCAAAACACTTTCAGACCAGTTAGAGTAGCAATGTATTTCCAACATCAGAGGTACAATTTGAGCCTCAAGAGTCCAAATCCCTTCTCCTTGAATGGTGTGGAGTCTGAGTGCTCTGATTGCTTCTGAGATCTTCGGTAATGCAGATGTTTGTTCCACAGGGTCTGACTTTTTTTTCTTATTTATTTCCTCTTTTTCTTTTTAGAGCATCACAGCTAAACTACCACACTTCCCCAGTTGTCTCCTTCTCAGTGCTAGTAGACTTGATTGTAAGAGCTGCCATGTCTAGCTTTAATTCTGAAGGATTTATATCTTTTGATCTAAGCCCACCTTCATCAAATTGCGTGACTCCAGATGTATCAGCCCACTATGCCCATCATCCCCAGCTAGGAGGTCCAATCCCTTCTTGGCAGTAACAATGAAAGCTATAGCACAGCCTTTCTGAGGAGGGCCAAGTTGACAATGGTTGATCTAATCTATTTTGAGAATGGCTAGGGCTAATGCATCCCCTTGAGCAGGGATCTTAGAGATCAAGAGAAGGGATCCACTTGGTGCACAGACTCAGAGCTACCACACTCTGACAGGTCTGGAGCTCTTGTCTGGAGAAGTAGCAGGGAAAGGAAAGCTTTCATCAATGGGTTCTTGGAGTTGACACTGTGGAATTCTCCACATGTTATTACATTTCAGCTTCTGGTATCCTTCAGCACTGACTAGGGCTGAAGGGAGCTGCAATCCACCAATATCTGAAGGGCTTTCTCATGCCTTCACCAATGGGAAGCTTGAATTCATGACTCTCTAATCACCCCTACCTTTTCTGTGCAATTGCTTTGCCTTATTCATGGAATTTTACAGGTGTAAAGATGCTGGCTTCTATTTGCAACCCTCCCACATTTTACTTCATCTCTTTAGGATGACAGCACAAGAAGCTGTCCCTTTGGAAGTACACCCGAGGGTTACACCAACACTTTTCCTCGAAAGCTATACCACTCCACAAGAGGAACTCAACAGAAGATAGCTGCTTCTGGAAAAACTCAAAGAAGACTGTTCCAAAGACAGGGAACAAACATAGTTCTTCATTCCACAGTAGCAAAACAGAAAAGAAGGAATAATACGTTGCCCACACTCACACACACACACACATTGTTTAAGCTGTCTATGCTTAAATGATGTTTATCTATAGCAACATATTTTTGAAAGAAGTACAATTTACCTGGAATTGACAGATTCGAGAGAGGAATGCCCCAGAGAGATTCTGGTAAATTAGACATCCATTGAGGCCCTTCACCATACAGGTCAACTGACTTCTTTTTGGGACGTTCTTTCATTTTGCTCTTTTTCATGGTGTGCTAGGAAAAATACTGAACAAAAATAGGAATTAATCTGCCAGGATCCATTTGATTTTCCTGGTTGGTAACAAACTTGTCTTATAAATCAATGGAAAGGATTATTTTGTTATTTGATTTTCTTTCAGCTGAGAATTAGACCAGTTTAGTGATTGGATCAGCTTGTATAGGAGATAACAGGACAAGTGCCTTTATTCTATAGACAAAATGGTACACAAGAAGCCATTGGCCCAAAACTGCCACCGGAGTCCAGCAACTACACGACAGCTATCAAGATTTACAAGTCCCCATTAAGGGCAGCAACAGCCAGTCTGGTGTAGCCAGCAGAGTAATAGACTAGGCCTTAGGAGGCCTGGATTCAGATACCCATTTGGCCATGGAAATTCACTAGGAGGTGGCAATGGTGAAACCACTTCTTAAATATTTCACATACCTTAAAAATCCCATTAGGGTTATCATAAGTCAGATACTACTTGACAGCACATAGCAAACATTAATAATAATAACAATAATAACAACAATGATGATGATGATGATGTGCTGTCAAATCAATTCTGACTTACAGCAACCTTTTTCAAGGTTTTCCAAGTTGAGAATACTCAGCAGTGCTTTTCTGTTCCCTTCTCCTAGCAGCATCCTGGGACTCTGCAGCTTGCCCAAGGCCACACAGGCTGGCTCTTCTGCCAGGAGTCATAGCGGGGAATCAAGCTCCCAACCTCAGGCTCTGCAGCCAGATACTCAAGCCAGTTAAGGGTAATTAGTAGTGGCTGAATGTATCCGCACAAGTTCTTGCCTCATTTCTGAGTCACAGCAAATGATGTGGCACCAATCACCATTTGTATTACATCCTCATAGTCAAATTGTAGGAGAGGACAGGACATCTCTTCGGAAATCACTTTCATTCACTTGATGCGCTAAGTCATATGGACCTTTCTAGCCACCTTGGGAATTTAAGGGGAATTGGGAGCGACCCAGAAAATGAAAGAACCCCACAGTCACCATGTATTTGATAATCCATAAATATCTCTGATGTCCATTATTTGAGGCATGTATTCAGAAAATGCAGTTCTTCTTGATTCTAACTACCTGGCTGTTGAAAGAGTCAGCTCTCAAAGAAAACCTGTCTGCCTGGATTTATGTTTGTTAGTTAATTTTTACAGATCAATTAATTAAATTATCATTTCATGTTCTGGAGGATGTACGTTGTAAAACAACGTTTCAGGCATTTGTTTTAAAAGATAAACTAATATATTTCACACATATCACACATTAAATTCTAATCATTTTCACAAATGACATGGGAGCACATTCTTGTAATTAAATTATCATTTCATGTTCTGGAGGATGTACGTTGTAAAACAACGTTTCAGGCATTTGTTTTAAAAGATAAACTAATATATTTCACACATATCACACATTAAATTCTAATCATTTTCACAAATGACATGGGAGCAGAGCACATTCTTAAATTTTTACAGATCAATTAATTAAATTATCATTTCATATTCTGGAGGATGCACGCCAATACTTTGTAAAACAACATTTCAGGCATTTGTTTTAAAAGATAAACTAATATATTTCACACATATCACACATTAAATTCTAATCATTTTCACAAATGACATGGGAGCAGAGCACATTCTTAAATTCTCAAACCAAGACTAACAATGAAATCTTAAGAGTTAAAAGGCATAATGAATTGCTTTCATCCCAAGCCAAAATGTGTTTTGAGAAAGTTTCACATACTGAAAAGCAATATGGATAAAACAGATGTCAGATCCCAACTAAAAGATTTTTTACCATATATGTGGTAAAAAAAATGAAATAATGTCAGAATTCCAACATAATAAAATATGTAATTTTGACAAGATTAATTCGTGGACATATTCTTTGCTAGCAATCTGGAGCAATAATTAAACAGCAGGAAGCACATCATAGATTAAATGTGATAAACCCATCTCATCCAGACCCCTAACTACATACACTTGACAAAACTGCCTGAGCAGATGCAGCCTGATTAATTCCAGTATAGCTACAACCTATTGACCTACTTTTGTGAAATCCCCTCGCCTGTGCTTGGCCTATTGTTTCCTAAATAGGTCATTTTCTTCCCACACAGACACTACTGATCAATACAGCAGGGTTCCAAAGCTCAAGACAACCTTTATGAGCCAAGGAAAGTTGCACAGACACACTTCTCTGACAAAAGAAGGCTGTGAGAACAAGTGCTTGTTTAATTAACAGCCTTATACTTAACAAGATCATTCTGTTCCCACAAGGGGGGAAGTTAATGAAAAGCAGGTTTCAGCAGATGTACTACTCTGCTGGATCTGACCTGAGGCGCACAAGGGATGGAGAAGACAGCAACCATCTGCACGCAGAACAAAATGGTGCCTGCCAAGCACACTTTTATTTTGTACAAAGAAGATGAATAGAGAGGATTGATGCCATCTCTGGCAAATCAGACATCTCATTTAGTCGAGGGAGTGGGTGGAATCTAGGCAACCTCTATTCCAGACTTGCCCAACCAAATGGCCTCCAAATGCTTCAACTCCTATCCATCCCAGCCAGCTGATAAACAGTAAGGCATGACAAGACTTGTAGTCCAAAGTATTGGGAAGGAACTGCATTGGATAACACTGCCCTGTTCTAGTATCAAACAACTGCTCAGAACCCAAAATGTTTGGCTCAACCAAACATACACCTCTGTTTAAGAAAGATCACCATGAAGAGCAGCAGGATCTTCTAGGCCAGTGGTTCCCAACCTTGGGTCCCCAGATGTTCTTGGACTACAACTCCCAGAAATCCTGGCCAACATAGCTAGTGGTGAAGGCTTTTGAGAGTTTTTATCCAAGAACATATGGGGACCACATTTGGGAAGCACTATTCTAGATCACTATATGGAAGTTTCACTGGTAACAAACGACAAACTCAGTTCCAAATTAGAACAAGTTCAGAGGAGGGCAACAAGGATTATCAGAGGGCTGGAAACTAAGCCTTATGAGGAAAGGCTCAAAGAACTGGGCATGTTTAGCCTTGATAAGAGAAGACTGAGGGGTGATATGATAGCACTTTTCAAATATTTGAAAAGCTGTCATACACAGGAGGGGCAGGATCTGTTCTCTAATCATCCCAGAGTGCAGGACATGCAACAATGGGCTCAAGATAGAGGAAGCCAGATTTTGGTCGAATATCAGGACAAACTTCCTAACTGTTGAAGCAATAGGACAGTGGAACCAGTTATCTCCGGAGTTGGTGAGTGCTCCAACACTGGAGGCTTTCAAGGCAAACTGACAATCACCTGGCAGATATGCTTTGATTGTATTCCTGCATTGAGCAGGGGGTTGGACTTCATGGCCTTGTAGGCCCCTTCCAACTTCACTTTTCTATGATTCTGTGATTCATGTGGAGATACTTAGGATCCACATTCATTCCAAAAAAGAAAATCTGTAACATGTGAAAAATTGGGCTGAGGAGGGATATTTATACTGTATCAATAACAGAACAATCCCTTTCATCTTGAGAAGCATGAACAGCAAGGGCCTAAGCATGTTTACTCAGAAGTAAGCCCAACTGTGTTCACTCTGAGGTACAGCTACACTAACAGCAAGAAGCAAGCTAGTGTGGACTGACTGGGAACAGTCAAGCTTGGTTAGAAGGATCTAATCAAGCCTGGCCATTCATGTGGAGATGGCTCCTGCCAATATTATGAAGTGGCTTAATAAGAAATAGTCTACATATAGGTTTTTTAAAGTATTTCTCCTGCCCTTTGTCAAGCAAGTGAAGCAATTAATTTGCCAATATGCTGAAGTGGCTCAAATGTCACAAATACTGGCAAATTGAAAGAGAAAGCTGGCTTTGAATAGGTTCCAGCAATCGCACACACTGGAACCAGTTGAAACCACAGAGATCCTACCCACACCACAAGAGACTCTTGACAGGGGCCAGAAAGGTATGGATAGGATTAGGAACACTCTGGGAGCGGGCTGGTGTGATCCACAAATATATTGTCTGGTCACCATCTTTAAAGCACACCAACCTGCCCCTGCAGTGCTCCAAGCAGTGGGCTAAACAATTCATGCAGTCAGCCTCTCAGGTCAGTATATACAAGTTATAGTGAAAATATCACTTTCAAAGATTTGCCCTTTTTTGCCTTTTCTTCTTCTTTAATGTTTCCCTTTTGGTGGTAGTTGTTTTTTTAAAATCATCATTCTTCCTTGTTCATACCATGTGTTTTGGTCCATGTGGCTCATCCAAAACATCATAAAATCACAACAGGAGTGAGGCAACAGAAAACATTTTAAAACCATGATAAAATCTCAGTCAGACTTACCGTCCTCTTGATTTTCAGCCACACTGTATATCCCACTCCCAGCAACCTCCCTCTTGCTGCAAACAGCGGTTTTGATGGTGGGGAGAGCAATTTTCCAAAAGATTGCAGTGAAGGGGGGAAGGTTTAAATACCCCCTTCCTGTGAGTCATATAGCCTTAATCATGGGACCCTGTAGCTACTCTTTAACCAATCTACAGCTTGGAAGAGCTACAGTTGGCTTGGAAAGCTCATTATGTTTTAGATTCTTAAACTCCCAGAATCCCACCACAAGGGTGCTGGGTCAAGGATACTCAAAACTGTCCTCTCAAAATTTAACTGTTCCAACTTCTGAACAAAACAGAACAACAAAAGACACATTATAGGTACAGTATGTTCATACTTCACATTCCATGAGAATTCAGAGAACAAAAAGAGAATATGCCAGTCGAACAAACATAGCAAATCTAAGTGGTGATTTATCTACAAGATGATAAAAGCCTCATCAGCAAGTGTCCAAGGTGAAGCTAAATACAAACTCAAACTCTTAAGTAAACAGGGAAGATATCAGTTGTACTGTGTCACTAGTTTAATGGCAAAGTGGTAGAATATACCAGATGGGCGGGATATGTATATAATGTGTGTGTGTGTGTATATATACATACATACACACAGACACACTAAAATACGTAATTTTGACAAGATTAATTCGTGGACATATTCTTTGCTAGCAGTCTGGAGCAATAATTAAACAGCAGGACACACACACACACATACACACATACAGCCAACTATGGCAAATATTTGGGTTGCCACTCCAGTCACTTACCACTCATACTAAGGACACAATAATGAGAATGAAGGACCCCAAAACACCACGGAGAACGAAAGGTGTACACGAATAAGCCCCACCTGGCCTCCTTAACACCCCGTTCCAGGAAACCGACTAAACATCTTCAAAGCTTGTTTAAAAGAAACCACGTGTTATTCCAGAATAATTTCAGTTTACAAAGGGCCAGTCACTGTGCCGGGCTAAGGGGGAACCAAAATAAGAAAGCCTTCCACTACCTAGAATCAGAGATAGTCTGGACCCTATAAGAAACGTGTTATTATTTTTAGAAACCACAAAACCAATGGTTAAACTATGGCAACTACAAAAATCTTTACAGGACTGCAACAGTCTCCGCAGCGTTTGAGATTTACACCCGGCAGGTCTTTGATATTCTCCCAAAGCCCAGGAAAAACAGAGTTTTGTTTTTGTTCCTACTCACTGGTACTATCAGCATCTGAGCAGCTTTATCCATCAAAGAGATCGGCTCAAAGGCTTCCGCATTCCCGGTAGAAAAGCCTCCGCTGCCGAACGCTGTCTCGTCCGAAAGCCGCCGCATTGGGACATGAAAACAAACACACGCTGGACCCGGTTTTGCATGCCGCCGCGCGATTGGCCCTTCGCCTTGACGGCCCGCCCCCTCTGCGTCGAGGGGCCCGTCCAAATTAGGGCACGGGAGGGGGGAGGAGTGGAGCAGGAAGGAAGTGGAAGGGCTCAAACGGGAGAGGGGCGGGGGGGGTGGCGTTTGTGTTTGGGCGGGCGAGGGAGGTGCGAAAGCAGTGCAGTGTGTCTCCGGCAGGAGGTATACGCAAAGGGAAAAAAATCACTGTGCAACGAAAACAACAACAGAAGTCTTGTGGACACTTTAAAAACTAACGGATTTATTTCGGTGTTTTAGTGCGGCAGAACTCTCATTTTCAAACACATGGAAAGAAATCTGTATAGGGGTAAATTTGGAAGCGCATGTGCTCATCGTGACAGTCTCCATAGCCGGGTCTCGCCCCCCAAAAAAGAGCCCAAAAATACAGACCGCTGGGTCAGCCAACATCAGCCAATTAAGAGTTGGGCTTTTGTAAAGCTAATGGCTCTTACTGTCCATTCAAAAGCAAGCCCCAATATTTTATTTTGCATTAGAAGAGGACTGTCAGAGCAATATACTACTTCTAGAAAGATACATTTCTGCTCCAGACACACCAGGACTGCTGCTAAACTTATTTATTTATTTATTTATTTATTTATTTATTTATTTATTTATTCAATTTATATGCCGCCCAAACTACCCAGAGGTCTACTTAGAGGGAACAAGGAATCCGGGGAAGTGTGGAAGTGATCTCTTGGTCACACTTGACTTGACGGGACACATTATTACTATTTTCTCTGTGAAATTCTCCAGTATGAACCTCAGTGCCCCAGGGAATAAATGCTACTACAGAGAACACACTTGACGACAAATACTCTGGTTTCTCTTCAGATCGTATAAATCTTTCGCCTTTTGCTACAGAGAACAGAACCAAACCTTGACGACTCCTGTCTCACAGTCATTGTAGATGTTTGCAGAGATGATGTGGTCCACTCATTCCTGTGTTTCTGCTGCCTGTCAACTCCGTCTTTTTTCTTTTCTTTTTTGGTACAATGCAAATGGCATTTGAGCTGGACCACAGGGGTTGTGACTGAGGATGTGAAGTGTGTACTTACCACATATTTTTAGACAGCCATATGCCCTTCCAATATTTCAGAAAGGATACTGTTTGCATGTGATAGATACAGTATCTTGTTTCAGTGGAAATGTGTTCAGAGGGCTGTGTGGGGAAGCTTTCTACTTCCTTTTGACTACCTGGGGCACACCATGAACATGGCTGTATTTTTAAAGTGGGTTTTCAGTCATGTATGCTAGAAGAGCATCAGCAACAGAGTGGGAAGAACAGGGAGTATATTTTGGGACTCTTGCAAAGCAAGAATGGAAAACCTTTGTCCCTCCTTCACAGTGTCTTGGGTTATGACTCCCACAGTTTCTTACCATTGGCCATTACTAGGTGGGGATGATGGAAGCTGTAAGCTAAGGCCTGTGGAGAGCCATCCACCTGTGGCAGAAAGGTAAGTAGAGGTACGGAGGGAATGGCTTCCTCACCAGAACATCTCTCTCACCTTTGTCCATCATTTTTCATGAAAATAGCATTTCCTCCCCCACTTCCAAAACCTTCCATGCTTTCAGTGAATCCACTTGTGACTCACACTTCAAGGAATTGCTATAAAATAGTCATGCACAAGCTGTACTTTTGAATTATTAAGCCACGGCTGTACTCACAGGCAAAAGGCACATGGTTGATTACTATGGTTTATTTCTGTAGTTACAAACGTGGTTACAAAACCCACAGTGCAATGTGACCATGTCTCCAAATGGGCAGGTGCATCCCCATAATGAGATACTCATGTAGGTACTTACTTTCACATGTGGTGGGAATGTAATGAAATTTTGGGAGTTAGTTTTTGAAGAAATTAATAAAATATTGGAATTAAATGTAGACTTTACCCTGAGAATAGCATGGTTATCAATCTTTGATAAAGAACAATGGAACTGGATGGTAAAGTCATTGATAGCAAACTTAGTATCTGCAGCAAGATTAATTACAGCTAAAAATGGAAATTAAAGCACGAATTTCAATTAAATGAATGGTATAAAGAAGTATGAAATATTGCTATTAATTATAAACTACGTAATTTGTGATATTAAGTTTTAAAAGGGTTTGCCAAACAAAATGCTTTTAGAGATAGTTGGGGAGTGTTTATTAATTACAGTATGTATTAATTAAAGGGAAGTGTTGTGTACTATTAAAAGAATCAATGCAGTTTTGGAAGGGGAATGGTTTGGAACGTTTCATTTATGATTGTTTCAATCATAAATGAAACAAATGCAGAAAGTCTTCAAAATATCTCAGTGGAGGGGAGCACTTTGTTTATGTATTAAGTTTTTTATTTGATCGTTTTGTATTTTTTTGTGTAGTTTAGAGTCAATTATATACAGTAATGCCTATATAAACAGGCACGTGCAAGCCAAAAATATGCCAGGATTTTTACTTAATGACTGAAAACTTGAATGAATTCAGATTGGTGACTGATGGCTTGGATCAGCAGCCAAATCATAGCACATGTTTGTGTAAATTGTGTGGTGGGAGGGAAGCACCTCGGGCTCATAGTGCTAAGGCTGACTGGTAACTGTCAGCATTTAAAAGAATCTGGGAACAGAAGCTTTACAAAAGTAATTAAAATCTGTTGTTCATACCTAGCTTCTTCAGTCCACTCCAGGATTCCAGTGTGTTAAGCCCTTGGGCTATAGGAAGCCATTAAAGGAACGAGAATGCCAGGAAATAGACTGGGGAGTGACTCTTCCCTAGCCGGTAATGGTTACAACAAGGATACTTACTGGCCTGAGAATAATGTGTTTGTTATGTGCTGTCATGTCAGCTCCAATTTACGATGACCCCAGGAGTGTTTCTGAGGCATGTGAAATATTTTAGGAGTCATTCTACTACTGGTGCCACACACACACATACACACCCATAAGCTTCAGCAGCCGAGTAGGAATTAAAGCACAGGTCTTCTGAGTCCTCAAGCCAACACTCTCTTCACTACGTAGCACTGGAATAACAAGTCTTCTAGAACTCATCAGCATTCATTTCTGATTAGATGCACCTAGGATGCCACTTAATTTCTCAGCCCTAGCTCCAGATCTGATGTTAGCTCTGCCACTCAGCACAGTAAAGCAATGGTCTCAAGCAGCAGATTCAGAATGGCATGAATTGTAATTCATCTGCTATTATTGCAGGGCTACTTTTCTGCCTCTTGAGTGAAAATCAGATAGGCAAGCATCTCAATTTGGATAAGAGTATACAACACAGATAGCAAATGTCTTGAACTTTCTCCCCGCCCTGCCCCGGGTCCCAAATCTCCCTATTTGATAGATTGGGATGAAATATACCAAGTCAGATTTATTGGATTATTTTTAAAGCTGACTAAGGTAAAAAGAATTGATGCTTTTGAATTGTGGTGTTGGAGGAGACTCTTGAGAGTGCCCTGGATTGCAAAGAGAACAAACCTATCCATTCTAAAGGAAATCAACCCTGAGTGCTCACTGGAAGGACAGATCCTGAAGCTGAGGCTCCAATACTTTGGCCATCTCATGAGAAGAGAAGATTCCCTGGAAAAGACGCTGGTGTTAGGAAAGTGTGAAGGGAAGAGAAGAAGGGGACGACAGAGGATGAGATGATGGGACAGTGTCATCGAAGCCACCAACATGAATTTGACCCAACTCCGGGAGGCAGTGGAAGACAGGAGGGCCTGGTGTGCTCCGGTCCATGGGGTCACGAAGAGTCGGTCACGACTAAATGACTAAACAACAACAACAACAAAGGTAAAAATACAAGTGAAGTTTTGCAAACATTTAAGAAAAGTGCTGTGTAAGTACTATGTTCCAGGAAGATGTTTTCTGTTGTAGAAAAAAAGAAAAATAGTGGTTGATTCCTCAAAGACTAATGCAATTAAGTGTGGCATAAAACATGTGGTTGCTGCTGCTGCTGCTCTTCCTCCTTCACCAGAGCATATTCCAAAGAATGGAATGTACAACGCAATTCCAAAGTAACTTGACCTAAACTGATCCTGTTTTATTCCCATTATTATTTGCAGATAGCTAGGAAGAGGAATGGATGACTCTGGAAATACTTTAGTGACAGTCGGTGGGTGTTTTTATGTCAAAAAAAAAGTGTGCGGACAAGCCAAACAGTTTCAGTATTATGGTGCTCAGGGCAAATTAAGGATCTGAAAGAAGCAAATGAAGCAGCAAACTCTAATTTCAAAAGCACCCAATAACAGAGTGGTAGGTTTTCTGAGAAATGATGGTGTCCAAAAATGGTCATGAAGAAATCAGATGATGTGGAAGTGCCGAATCGGTTTGTTTTCATCTGATCCTCTGAGGGGAACACATGGAAATGAACACTGAGGACCTTCCAATTGTCTAGTGAAACTTAGAGCATCGTTTAGCTGAGGGGCTGAATATGGATATGACTCCTAGGTGTCCTTTCGAGTGCTCTGGATGGCATAGACAACTGCCAGACAGTTCAGCTTTTGTAGATTGAATGGTCTTCTGTTTCAGGCAGTGGAATGTTCTGGATCGTATATGTGCATTTTTTTTGGTAACAGGTGTTGCTTGTTCATTGCGACAAGGGAGACTCATGGTAATGAGCTGCCCTCGCTTTGCCCTGTGCAAAATCTACAACATAACCTTGTGAATCAGGAAAATTTGAAATATCTCAGTTCACTACTCTATTATTTTATTCAATCACTCTGCACTTAATAGTGAGAACACAGCCAATTATTATATATATATTTACTACTTTTAAAATATGCGTTTGATTCTACCACTTCTAAAAGAGTATTTAATTCTGGGGCTCCAATCCAGTGTCGTGTTCCCGATACAGAATGGGGACCCATGTTGCTTTCCTGATGTCACCTCCCCTTCCCCATGTCTCCCCCCCCCACGATAAAGTCCGTTCTAGAAGCAGCTTATGGCAGGATAATTGTGTGCAAACTGTCACAGGCAGGTCATCCTTGACACACAATTACAGCTGTTGTAAATCCG